CTCAGGAGATAGATAAGGTGGTCAGGCACTCCCATTTCTTTAAGAACTTGCCATAGTTTGTTGTGGTCCACACAGTCAAAGGCTTTTGCATAGTCAATGAAGCAGAAGTAGATGTTTTTCTGGAACTCTCTGGCTTTCTCCATAATCCAGCACATGTTAGCAATTTGGTCTCCAGTTCCTCTGTGCCTTCAAAATCCAGTTTGTACTTCTGAGAGTTCTCGGTCCACATACTGCTGAAGCCTACCTTGTAGGATTTTGATCATAACCTTGCTAGCGTGTGAAATGAGTGCATTTGTACAGTAGTTGGAGCATTCTTTGGCACTGCCATTCTTTGGGATTGGGATGTAGACTGATCTTTTCCAATCCTCTGGCTACTGCTGAGTTTTCCAAACTTGCTGGCATATGGAGTGTAGAACCTTAACAGTGTCATACTTTAAGATTTTAAGTAGTTCAACTGGAATGCCATCAATTCCACTGGCCTTGTTGTTAGCCATGCTTTCTGAGGCCCACTTGACTTCACTCTCCAGGATGTCTGGCTCAAGGTCAGCAACCACACTATCTGGGTTGTCTGAGATGTCCAGATTTTTCTGGTATAATTCCTTTGTGTATTCTTGCCACCTCTTCTTGACCTCTTCTGCTTCTGTGAGGTCCCTACCATTTTTGTCCTTTATCATGTCCATCTTTGTACAAAAGTAAAGGTAAAAGCTTCCCCTTGCCATTTTTTAGTCCAGCCATGTCTGACTCTAGGGGGCAGTGCTCATCCCATTTTCAAGCCATAGAGCCAGCACTTATCTGAAGACAATTTCCATTGCCACGTGGCCAGTGTGACTATGGAACACCGTTTTACCTTCCCACCGAGGTGGTACCTATCTACGTATCTACTCGCATTTGCATGCTTTTGAACTGCTAGGTTGGCAAGGAGCACAAAATGTTCCTTGATTATCTCCAATTTTCTTGAACAATTCATTTAAGAAGGCCCTCTTGTCTCTCCTTGCTATTCTTTGGAAGTCTGCACCCAATTTTTTGTAACTTTCCCTATCTCCCTTACATTTTGTTTCCCTTCTCTTCTCTGCTATTTGTAAGGCCTCACTGGACAGCCACTTTGATTTCTTGCATTTCCTTTTCTTTGGGATGTTTTTTGTTGCTGCCTCCTGTACAATGTTACAAGCCTCCATCCATAGTTCTTCCGGCACTCTGTCCACCAAATCTAGTTCCATAAATTTGTTCTTCACTTCCGCTGTGTATTCATAAGGGATTTGGTTGAGATTATACATGACTAACCCTGTGATTTTTTTCCTACTTTCTTCAGTTTAAGCTTGAATTCTTTTATAAGAAGCTGATGATCAGAGCCACAATCAGTTCCCGGTCTTGTTTTTGCTGACTGTATAGAACTTCTCCATCTTTGGCTGCACAAAACATAATCAATCTGATTTCAGTACTGCCCATCTGGTGATGTCCATGGGTAGAGTCACTTCTTGTGTTGTTGTTTTTGGTGACTGTACAGAGCTTCTCCATCTTTGCCTTCAGAGAACATAATCAGATTTTGGTATTGCCCATCTGGTGATGTGTATAGGAGGTGTGTAGAGTCACCTCTTGTGTTGTTGGAAAAGAGTGTTTGTGATGACCAGCTTGTTCTCTTGACAAAACTCTATTAGCCTTTTCCCTGCTTCATTTTGAACTCCAAGGCCAAACTTTTCTGTGGTTCCTTTTATCTCTTGACTCCCTACTTTACCATTCCAGTCCCCTATAATGACAAGAACATCTTTCTTTGGTGTTAGTTCTAGAAGGTGTTTTAAGTCTTCATAGTATTGGTCAATTTCAGCCTCTTCAGCATCGGTGGTTGGTGCATGTGATGTTGAAAGGTCTGCCTTGGATTTGTATTGAAATCATTCTATCATTTTTGAGATTTTATCCCAGTACAGCTTTGCCCAGTTTTTTGTTGACTATGAGGGCTACCCCATTTCTTCTATAGGATTCTTGCCCACAATAGTAGATATGATAATCGTCTGAATTGAATTTGCCT